AATAATTATTAATTTTAAATTATCTTAGGTAATAAGATATTAGGGTACTCATTAATAGCAGTGAAAATAGGGAAAAACTTAGGGAAATGGTAAAATTATGATAAAAACAGGATGGAATAATACAGACATTAAACATATTCATGAAGATTACATAATATAAAAATGCTTATAGTATAAGGTTAGGAATAAAAAGAAAAATACAACATATTATAGAAATATGACAACATAGATTTGTAGACTCTAACTTTAGAAATAAATAATAATAATAATAATAAAAAGCCTGACCAAATGTTAAAAGTGATTTTTGTGTGTGATAAATCCACAGATATTTTGAAGACTACTTTTTACAATCTCCTAAATGTTATTTTGTAAGCTATTAATGAAAAATAAACACCAAAAGAGGTCTGGTACATACATACAGTTCAGTACAGTCACTCAGTCGTATCTGACACCTTGAGACCCCATGGACTGCAGCACACCAGGCCTCCCTGTCCATCACCAACTCCCGGAGCTTGCTCAAACTCATGTCCATTAACTCGGTGATGCCATACAACCATCTCATCCTCTGCCGTCCCCTTCTCCTCCCGCCTTCAATCTTTCCTAGTATTGGGGTCTTTTCCAAGGACTCAGTTCTTTGCATCAGGTGGCCAAAGTATTGGAGTTTCAGCTTCAGCATCAGGGTCCTCCCAATGAATATTCAGGACTGATTTCCTTTAGGATACACTGGTTGGATCTCCTTGCAGTCCAAGGGATTCTCAAGAGTCTTCTCCAACACCACAGTTCAAAAGCATCAATTCTTCAGTGCTCAGCTCTCCTTATAGTCCAACTCTCACATCCATACATGACTACTGGAAAAACCATAGCTTTGACTAGATGGATCTTTGTTGGCAAGTAATATGCTGTCTAGATTGATCATAGCTTTCCTTCCAAGGAGCAAGCGTCTTTTAATTTCATGTCTGCAGTCACCATCTGCAGTGATTTTGGAGCCCCCCAAAATAAAGTCTCTCACTGTTTCAATTTTCTCCTCATCTATTTGTCATTAAGTGATTGGACCGGATGCCATGATCTTCGTTTTCTGAATGCTGAGTTTTAAGCCAACTTTTTTACTCTCCTCTTCACTTTCATCAACAGACTCTTTAGTTCTTCACTTTCTGCCATAAGGGTGGTATCATCTGCATATCTTAGGTTATTGATATTTCTCCCAGCAATCTTGATTCCACCTGTGCTTCATCCAGCCCAGCTTTCACATGATGTACCCTGCATATGAGTTAAACAGGGTGACAATATACAGCCTTGACATACTCCTTTCCCGATTTAGAATCAGTCTGTTGTTCCATGTCCAGTTCTAACTGTTTCTTCTTGACCTGCATACAGCTTTCTCAGGAGGCAGGTCAGGTGGTCTGGTATTCCCATCTCTTTCAGAATTTTCCACAGTTTGTTGTGATCCACACAGTCAAGGCTTTGGCATAGTCAATAAAGCAGAAGTAGTTTTTCTGTAACTCTTTTGCTTTTTCTATGATCCAACAGATATTGGCAATTGGATCTCTGGTTCCTCTGCCTTTTCTAAAACCAGCTTGAACATCTGAAATGTTCACAATTCACATACTGTTGAAGCCCAGCTTGGAGAATTTTGAGCATTACTTTGCTAGCGTGTGAGATGAGTGCAATTGTTTGGTAGTTTGAACATTCTTTGACATTGCCTTTCTTTGGGTTTGAAATGAAAACTGACCTTTCCCAGTCCTGTGGCCACTGCTGAGTTTTCCAAATTTGTTGGCATATTGAATGTAGCACTTTCGCAGCATCATCTTTTAGGATTTGGAATAGTTCAGCTGGGATTCTATCACCTCCACTAGCTTTGTTTTAGTGATGCTTCTTAAGGTCCACTTGACTTCACATTCCAGGATGTCTGGCTCTAGGTGAGTGATCATACCCATCATGGTTATCTGGGTCATGAAGATGTTATTTAAATAGTTTTTCTGTGTATTCTTGTCACCTCTTCTTTATATCTTCTGCTTCTGTTAGGTCCATATAATTTCTGTCCTTAATTGTGCCCATCTTTGCATGAAAACTTCCCTTGGTATCTCTAATTTTCTTGAAGAGATCTCTAGTCTTTCCCATTCGATTGTTTTCCTCTATTTCTTTGCATTGATCGCTGAGGAAGGCTTTCTTATGTCTCCTGGCTATTCTTTGGAACTCTGCATTCAAATGCATTTATCTTTCCTTTTCTCCTTCGCCTTTTGCTTCTCTTCTTTTCTCAGCTATTTGTAAGACCTCGTCAGACAACCACTTTGCCTTTTTTCATGTCTTTTTGTTGGGGATGGTCTTGATCACTGCCTCCTGTAAAATGTCATGAACCTCCAGCCATAGTTCTTCATACATTAGATCATAAGGAAGTCATAAATCTTGCCATCTAGTGTTGAACCCATTTGAATGAAAAGATAACAAAATGTTTTAAAATTACAGATGTGATCAAGTCAAGAACACAGATTTCCCATAATAGTTGAGAAAAACAATAAACCTATACAGTTTTCATTTCACAAATCCAGAGGGAAAACCAACTTTTTTCCAAGTGACATGATTCTAGTTAAATGCTTCTATTAGTCTATCTATCACCTAATTAGAGCCTATATTATGTGCAGATTATTTTACAGAAAGCAGTCTACTTTCATAAATCCAATGTGGAAATAAATGAAATAATGTCAGCGTTGCTACTGAACTTTAACATTCTACCTTTTGTGTCAGCAGTTTGCTAAATTGTACAAATATTCTAGATTATATTCCATGTACCAGAATTGAATGATGAAATCCAAGATCAAACATTTGAATTATTTTATTAAAGAGCTTCAAATGTATTTTAATAGGAATCCTAACTCACATATGACAAAATCATTTTGAAAATGTAGGGGGTCTTAATGTTATAATTCTAGCACATAGGTTGGCAAACTTTTTCTGTAAAGGGCCAGACAGTGAATCCTGAGGACTTTGTGGGCCATAAAGTCTCTGCTGCAACTACTTAACTCTGTCCTTGTAGAGCAAAAGCTGCAACTGAGAATATGTAAATAAATAAGCATGATGCTTTTCAATGAAAATTTATTTTCAGGAACTGTAATATGAATTTAATATAATTTTCATAAGTTATCACATATTCTTTTGATTTTTTTCCAATAATTTAAAAATGAAAAAACAATCCTTAGCTCATAGGCAATACAAAAAGAAAAGTGGTGGGCAAATTCAGCCTGTGGGCTGAAGTTTGTCAAACTGTTCATTCTAGAGTTTTTGTTTAACTTATTCTTAGCTAATATCCCTTGCTACTTCCCCCTATTCGGCATGCTTTTATCCTCCTCCCTCCCACCTTCAAAATCTTATCTAACCTTTTAAGTCCTCAAATATGTCCTTCATGAAAACTTCCTAGTTGTCCTTTATCAAATGGGCCTTCTCTTCCTTTGAAACTTTCATTTGTACTTTCTCTGGTTTTATACATGACTACTGACCTTGTCCAGTTATGTATATGCCAAACTTTCCTCTTAACATTTTGTGGATGAAACCCTCTCTTCACTTCAGTTCAGTTCAGCCACTCAGTCATGTCTGACTCTTTGTGACCCCATGGACTGCAGCACGCCAGGCCTCCCTGTCATCACCAACTCCCAGAGTTTACCCAAACTCATGTCCATTGAATCGGTGATGCCATCCAATCATCTCATCCTCTGTCGTTCCTGTTCTCTCTGTTCTCCTCCTGCCTTCAATCTCTCCCAGAATCAGGGTCTTTGCAAATGAAACCCTCTCTTACACATTTCTTATTGACCATGGTGCATGGCAGAAGGTTAATGATGATGGTTGAATGGAAAGATAACCATTTGACATCAATTCCTGGATATGGGCCCCAGTGGTTTAATAACAGCTTTTAAGTTTCTAAAAAAAATTATAGTTATTAAAAGTATTCATTAAAAAAATGTATTCATAAGATTGAAAACATAGATGGATTTTAGTAATATTAAAATGTGACAACAAATATTACCTTGGAGTCAAAAAGAATGCCCACCATGTTGGTAGAGAAGACAGATGGAGAGATGGGAGAGATATAAGGCTCGGGGTGCTATGTGAAATCCAAATATCCACAGGACACAGCTCAGTCCTTTAACTGTCCTCCTAGAGTTGAAAAAAGTATCAGACCTTCCACTGCTTATGGTATCAGGGCCTGACCATCCTGGGACATGTCTTAGGACTTTCAATGTAACATTGAACTTCCTATATACCCAGGAAACCCCTGGATCAGAAAGTTACTCAGCTTCACACAACTCAAAATGAAGTTTGCAGATTTCTATTAAATCTTTAAATTTTCCTTTAACTCTAAATTCCTACTGCACAGATCCAATAGATGTTCAGAAACTGGAGCCACTCTTCCTAAATTCACATCCTAGGAATGTTTCTGATTATCTATATGATCCTTGACATCTTAGTTAACCTCTCCAAACCACAATTTTGTCATCTGTTAAAAAAAGAGACAATGACAAGAGAGCCTAACTCACGGGGATATTGGGCTATTGTGAGGATTAGGCGAGTTTCTATATGTAAGTACTTAGCAGTATTACATAGGAAGCATCTATCAGTGTTAGCTATATATACAGATGACTGCATATTTAGAAAAGAACAAATAGCATTGCTAATATTAAATAACCTCTAAGAAGCCACGCATACCCTTGCCTTCAGACATGTATTGTATTTTATTTGATTTTTGAGATAGAACTGCCATAGGAAGGAATTACAGAAAATAGGAGATAAGCTATATAGGAATTATCAAGTAATTTTTAAAATGCAGTAGAAGGAAAACAGCAAGCTGAACATACATGTATGGTTATGTGACATAGAGAGAAATAGGAAAAAAATTGAATCCTTCTGGCATTATCACAACAGTGTTTCCCAAGCTTTGGCAGAATGCAGTGATCAAGATCAGGTTCCATGCACAAGGGACAATGGCAGGTCAACTCAAAGGCCATACTTACCACCTTTATCCACCCTATGGGGACCTGCCTTTTTGTCCTTCACCTTAGCAGTGCTTTCTTCCCAAAGCTTACTCTTATTCTTTTCCTTTTCTTCCTCGGAAACATGTTGCCTGGACTTCTCAGATAAGCTCTCTGCAATCACTCCAGTTCTTTTCTCAGGTTCTTGTTCAAGAACATTCTCCAAATTTTCCTCTATCAGCAGAGGCTTGATCTCCACATCTGTTTCTATTATTTCTTGTTCTTCAATTTCTGGAGAATCCTCAGTTGGAAGGTGGGTTTTTCCTGGCTTATCACTTTCACTCAACTCTTGAGAAGATGAACTTCTGACACTTTCATTTGGACTGTTTTCAGCGTGGGTCTCCTGGTCCCCCAGTGCAGATTCATCTTCACTAGAACTAGAATATGGGTGACTTCTGGATGAGGTTGATGAAACAGTTTTCCCATCTATGAAAAATAAAAATGATTATATCATTGTATTTTCATAAGGGGAAATTTAATAATTATTGTGGGAATTATATTCATAATCATATTAACATTTTAAATATAGTAGATTTGATCCCCTTTTCCCATATATTCCACATACTTATCATGATAAAGAAAAATCTATGTAATCTGTGAGTCTATAAAAGTTTTTAATAGAAAGTCACATTTGAAAACAAATAGGATTTATTTTTTTGAAAGCCATCTCATTGGATAAAACTATCTGTTTTGTTATAGAAGAAATGGAGTAATCTTTTACTTGTTCAGCATGAGCACTTATTTCATTATCACCTTGGGTAGCCACAGTATTCTCTGTACATAAAGTTTACATTTTTATCTATTGCAACACACACCTTACTAGTATAGTCTGTAGCAGAGTATGGTAAAAATATCCATCGTTATTGTTGTTCAGTCACTCAGGTGTATCCAACTCTTTGTGACCCCATGGACTATAGCATTCCATGCTTCCCTATCCTTCACCATCTCCTGGAGTTTGCTCAGATTCACGTTCACTGTTTCAGTGATGCCATCCAACCATTTCATCCTCTGTCACCCCCTTCTCCTCCTGCCCTTAATCTTTCCCAGCATCAGTTATCTTTGTATTTGCATGATACCTAGATACTTGAAGTAATGTTTGTGTGTGTGTGCGCGCGCGCATGTGTGTGTATAGAAGGAAATGTTGGTTTTTTTTTCAGGTTCCGCAGAAGCAGATGCTGAGATGAGGATGCACAGGCAAGTGAGGTATTAAGAATATGCTCCAGAAAAAGTTCTTCCAGTGTGGGGGAAGCAGGGAAGGGAAGGGAAGAAGTCAATCAAGGGAGCTATTTCAAGCAACATCTCAGCCTCAGCCCAAACTCAGGGAAAACTCTGAAGTCTAAATTATATTAGATTTTTCCTCCCTGCAGACTCTGGGCTCTCACACTCTGCTCCAGTTAGACATGGCTACAAGCCACCCTGGGGGGACAGAAACTCCTTGACACTCCCAAGCTGTTTGTGCCTGAGGGCGAAGCCAATCCAGTAGCTCAGGGCTGTCCTCTGAAGAAGACAGAGGATGCAGAGCTGAAAATGGGCACACAGAATTGGCAAAAGAGATTCTACCTGATGTCCGCTGATGTGATGCTAGAAACTTACCGCAGCCAAAAATGGTTTAGCATTTGCTACCTGCAAACACTAAAGTATCTCCAAGACAGTCACACACATACACACACTGACTCTATAAGGAAGATGTGCTGCCTAAACGTCATGGCATGCCGTGGGCCAGAAAAATACAAACTTGCCTTTGATATTTTTAACCAAATAGATCCATGCTATAATTGTTTTTTGGAGGATACATTTTTTTTTTTCTAAATGAAAGAGCCCACATTTACAAGCTGCTTAACTTTCTTGTTTTTCTCTTCTCTGTGTGCTCTGGACTCTTTTTTTCTGTTTATTTCTTTTCTGCTTGGCAGCTACCCAGACGGCTGTGGCAGCTGAGGCAGAGTTTAAGGGAAGAAATACCTCTCTTTACTCTCATCCTCTTTCCTCCAGCCCCAACAGCTCTCCATGAGAAGGTTTAGCATTTTAAGTATACTCACTGAGACATATCAGAGTCTCCACAAAGATATCAGAGATGCTACACAGCAGTAAAAAACAAACTCCAAAAAGCCTTTAAGCAACAGAACCCCTTAAGTATGATTCCATTTGTTCTTATCACTCAACTACCTTGGCAGGCACCAGATGACCACTGTTTCTCAAAGCAGTCACGTACTTCAGTGGCTCATTTTTTGTCTCTGTTGTATAAGATCTAGATGTGCTGTTTCTCAGTGGGGAATGTACCGATCAAGGACAGACGTTCTCTATCTTATTTGTACCAGTTGAGAAACTTCAGGGACTATGATTTCCCCCTCTCTTCAGTGCCTCACATTTGTTTTTTTTTTTTAAGTGAAAAACAACTCCTGTTTGCTAGTGGTTTGATCAGTGGTTTTCATTAACTGCACAATTAGCTAGGACACAATGTTATATTGATACTTGTTATACATCCAAAAATATCCATATCTACCATCTGAATGTTGACATGAAGATGCTCACTTTTGGCTCTGAGTGTTGTTCACATAATTTAAAAAATGAGAGCTCCTCTTTCTTTAGCAGTGTCTATTAATTGATTATTTTATTTCAAAGGCTGAAATGAGCTCTGGTTCAATTTTTAGTCAGTCCTTAAGAGAAGAAAGATCAGCAGAATGAACAGCGAGGCTATCTGACCTCCCTTATAAACTCATTTCAGTTTTCAAATTTCTCTCTATCCTCCTTGCATAATCTTGTTTCACTCTTATTTCTTATTTTCATCTTCATACAGATGCTAGGCCAAGACTTTGCCTACAAAAAAGCTCAAGATGCTTTAGGACCACAGAATGGGCTTTTCAACACTAATTTTATTTATTCTCTTAGAAATTAAGTTTTTATGTAAAAATTTTTATATAAAGGAAGTTTGAGAGCAGACATGTAAATTGTATATTTTTTTCATCAGGAGGGAAAAAATCTGTCTTGGAGGCATGTTAGGAGACAGCTCTCTCTCCTACCTGGAGTAGGAAATGGCAACCCACTCCAGTATTCTTGCCTGGAAAATTCCATGGACAGAGGAGCCTGGTGGGCTACAGTCCATGGGGTCACAAAGAGTCAGACATAATTGAGCAACTGAGCATGCACTGCCTCCTACCAAAATTCCATTAGTCTCTTCAATGCTCCTTTAGGTACTGATGCTAACAATTTACCCTTGGTCTCCATGGTAGGGAGCTGATCTGCACCCATTCCCTAAGTCCTCTGCCAAAGCCATCATGTTTGGTGCCACAGTTCTACCTCCTAAGAAGGATCCCTAACTTTTTCTCTCTCCACATTCAATCAGACCCCAAATCCCTTCACTATCTTTTCTCTTCATGTGATCATAACTATTCAGTGATAGTAATGTCTTCTTTTACATCACCATTTCACACAACATGAGAGTGACAGAAAACACTAGGTTTTTCTGTAAGACAACGCTAGGTGCTCCAATCATGACTAAGCTACTCATTACCTAAGACTGGTTATGTGACTTCTCTAAGCCTCTGTTTTCTTGGCTGTAAATTCTACCTATTGTTCTCAATAAATAATTACAGAAATTACATGATAAAATTAATCTCACCAAATCAAATAATAATTTCTTTATGATTTTCAGTCTTCTTCCCCAATATCATACATGATAATCAGTTCAGTCGCTCAGTCGTGTCCAACTCTTTGCGACCCATGAACCGCAGCATGCCAGCCTCCCTGTCCATCACCAACTCCCAGAGTTTATCCAAATCCATGTCCATTGAGTTGGTGATGCCATCCAGTCATATCATCCTCTGTTGTCCCCTTCTCCTCCTGCCCTCAATCTTTCCCAGCATTAGGATCTTTTCAAATGAGATAGCTCTTAGCATCAGGTGGCCAAAGTATTGGAGTTTCAGCTTCAGCATCAGTCCTTCCAATGAACACCCAGGACTGATCTCCTTTAGGATGGACTGGCTGGATCTCCTTGCAGTCCAAGGGACTCTCAAGAGTCTTCTCCAACACCACAGTTCAAAAGCATCAATTCTTCATGCTCAGCTTTGTTTATAGTCCAACTCTCACATCCATACATGACCACTGGAAAAACCATAAGCCTTGATTAGATGGACCTTGGTTGGCAAAGTAATGTCTCTGCTTTTTAATATGCTGTCTAGGTTGGTCATAACTTTCCTTCCAAGGAGGAAGTGTCTTTTAATTTCATGGCTGCAATCACCATCTGCAGTGATTTTGGAGCCCAAAAAAATAAAGTCTGACACTGTTTCCACTGTTTCCCCATCTATTTGCCATGAAGTGATGGGACCAGATGCCATGATCTTAGTTTTCAGAATGTTAAGCTTTAAGGCAACTTTTTCACTCTCCTCTTTCACATTCATCAAGAGGCTCTTTAGTTCTTCTTCATTTTCTGCCATAAGGGTGGTGTCATCTGCATATCTGAGGTTATTGATATTTCTCCCGGCAATTTTGATTCCAGCTTGTGCTTCCTCCAGCCCTGCGTTTCTCATGATGTACTCTGCATATAAGTTAAATAAGCAGGTGACAATATACAGCCTTGACATACTCCTTTTCCTATTTGGAACCAGTCTCTTGTTCCATGTCCAGTTCTAACTGTTGCTTTCTGACCTGCATACAGGTTTCTTAAGAGGCAGGTCACGTGGTCTGGTATTACCACCTCCTTCAGAATTTTCCACAGTTTATTGTGATCTACACAGTCAAAGGCTTTGGCATAGTCAATAAAGCAGAAGTAGAGGTTTTTCTGGAACTCTCTTGCTTTTTTGATGATCCAGCAAATGTTGGCAATTTGATCTCTGACTCCTCTGCCTTTTCTAAAACCAGCTTGAATATCTGGAAGTTCTCTGTTCACGTATTGCTGAAGCGTGGCTTGGAGAATTTTGAGCATTACTTTACTAGCATGTGAGATGAGTGCAATTGTGTGGTAGTTTGAGCATTCTTTGGGATTGCCTTTCTTTGGGATTGGAATGGAAACTGACCTTTTCCAATCCTGTGGCCACTGCTGAGTTTTCCAAATTTGCTGGCATATTGAGTGCAGCACTTTCACAGCATCACCTTTTAGGATTTGAAATAGCTCAACTGGAATTCCATCACATCCACTAGCTTTGATCGTAGTGATGCTTCCTAAGGCATGATAAGTACATTCTAATAAATTTCTTCCTTGTGATTTCACCCTGCATATTATATTAGGAATAGTAGTCACAGTCACCATTTAATGAGGAAAATAAGACAAAACCTGATCATGATTATGCACCTACTCTACACCAAGCAATGAGGTAAGCACTTTACAAGCAACTCATTTAATCCCAAGGAATACTTATCTTCTTTTTCTTGATCTAGCATGTAAAAACTACAGAAGTTAAATAATACCCATTCTCCATTAGCTATAAAGGAACAATTTTTGTAAAATACTGCTTTCGTAATGAGGTGTTTCCACCCGAGTTCAATCCCTGAGTCTGGAAGATCCCCTGGAGAAGGGAATGGCTACCCACTCCAGCATTCTCACCTAGAGAATTCCATGGACAGAGGAGCCTGGTGGGCTACAGTCCATGGGGTTGCAAAGAGTTGGACATAATTGAGCAACTAACACTTTCACATTTTCAACGAAATGTTTGTATTTGATGTAAGGGAGAACATATGTCCTCCCTTGATAATGAAATGAGTTCATTATCAATTCATCAGTAAGATAAATATATACATTACTTTGTAAGGATAAATATCTAAAGTAAATTCAGATGTAGCAGGAGGAGAAGAAGCAAGCTTAAAAGTTCCTCCATATTTATCTTTAATTGGGTTTAATACTTAAAATACTGAGAATATAATCAAACCATGTATCACATTGTGCTGCTTAAGTTTTTTTCAATTTATCCATTAATGTAGTCCATCAGGCATGCATTTCACAAGATTTTATTGAGTGTCTCAGTAATGCCATTGCCATGTGCAAGGCAGATTGAAAACTGTAGAGAAACACCTCATAGATAAGTAATTTACGGAACTAAAAGATGATGCTGCATTTAAGTATCCATCTGAAAGCCATGACTTCCTACTTCAGTGATCCAAAAGTGAAGATAAAATGAGGAATTCTTACAGTTAAGAAAAATTAAAATGTGACTAACCATGCAAGAAAATGCAGATTTCAAAAGCTACATACAATCTTCCCCTAACCCTCTCCAATCTAAGGATTGCTGAAGTCCACAGAGTGTGGTTCAGAGCATATACAATTTCAACATAGAAGGAGCATCATTCCCTCATATGCATCTCTTCAAGCCCATAGTCAGACCCAGAAAGGAAGAGTGAGATATCTGAAGTATGTCAAGTAAAGAGAATATTTTTGTGACACTGAGATTTTTAAAGTAGTTAAGGCCAACTGCTTCAATAGAGTGAAAATAGCACAAGTAAAATATTATCTTTCTTACTAGAAAAAAATTGCTTTAATTCTTGTTTCTTATGGGAACAGATTCCACCTCTCTCTCTCTTTCTCTCCCTCTGCCTCCCCGCTGTTCTCTTTCTCATAAGGAGTTACTTAGTCTCTACCGCTTACTCATAGGTACTATCATCCAAACTGGCCACAAAAGTCTGTTCTCTGCAACATGACACTTTCCTTCTCAACCTTATAACATTTATCTATGACAATATATTTTCAAGTGGTGAATTAGTTCCCGGGGTTGTCAACACAAACACAGAGAAAAGGAAGCTGTCATTCTTTTTAAACGAAGGGAAGTCTCACACATCATTCCCAAAGTAGGGTCTTCTCTTAGTGGGTGCTCAGTCCCTGGCACTCCATCACTTGTGAGCTGGGTATTCATCAAGGCAGGCCGATGCAATTGTTCGCTGGCAGTTTCAATGGGGCCGACTTGTCACAGGAGTGACAGCCTGGGCAATTGTTTGCCCTCTGGGAACAGGTGCAGGCAGGTTCAAATGAAACACATCCAAACACTAACAGCAAGATTCTTAATCATGTCAATAAAAAGGATGTACCAGTGTCTAGGATGCAGTGGTCACAATATGCCTCTTAGACTTTTGAAGATGAAATGCTGTCTGGCTTTTCAATAGAGTGTACCAAGGAATCTATTATGTCATTATCATTTTTAATACACATTTCTTGTTTGCCGGATGAAATCTCTAATTCTGATACTCTGCATGCTAAAAAGCATGTTTTTGAATAACACAGGGTCAGGTTATCAAAATAATGGGATGGAAAATAAAAGTGCCTGGAGGTGGAAGAAAGAAATGGTAATAAGCAATGAGATTTTTACTTCAGAATAATGGCAAAGTTTAAATGTAAATATCAAGAATGCAAAGGAGCTATTAAAAAGGATTGTTCAAAAATTTCATTACTGAAAGAAAAATAGTTAACCAGTTTAATTTGGGGCTTTTAAATGTCCCAACATTGTGGACTAGATTCTATATGTTTTGATAGTTTTCATTACATAACTAAAATATTATGTATTCTATACCTACCTTACGCAGCTAACTCTATACAATGTTTTGAAAAAAATTCTGATAATAATCACATAGTGTAAATGTAACTAGGTAGCATGGCACTGATAGAAGTATTTTAGGACTCTTGATGTTAGTCAAGTAATTCTTAATATTCACAAAATATCCTTTAGGAAATTGCCTCTGTGAGAAATAACAAAAATAACACAGTACTAGCTTTTGTAGTATAATTAATCTGTGCATTATTAACTTGGGTGATTAATTTGAGAGGCAAAATTTAACACACATGAAACTGTAAGTGGAAAATGAATTATGCCATGATAGAGTTTCATAAAATAAAGAACTCAGTGAAGGCTGTGGAAGTAGGAGAGTCTCATGGAAGAGGAGAGCAATGAACTGGAAATGAGCAACAGGCCGGGGAGTGGATAAGTGGAAGAGAAAGGTAAATTTAGGTAAAATTAAAATTTTTCTTCTTTTCTTTTATTTTCTTCTGTTTAAAAGCAAAACAAAATCCCAAAACAGAGGTTAAAAAATAGAATAAGATGAAGAGCTCAAGATAAATGCCTCTAAAATATACATTCTTAAGGAAACAAAATCCTTTTATTAGAGGGATTTGCATTAATTTTAGATAAGTAGATGTTGACTGATTTGGAGAAATGCTACATTGTTTTTCTCCAAAATCCAGGCTCTGAATTTTGCATCTTGGCTCCACCACTTTCCAGCTGTGTGAGTTACTTAATCTCATTATTTCCAAGTTTCTTTACTTGTAAAATGGAGGCAAAAAGTACCTGCTTTTTTAAGAGTTGTTTTAGGTAAATCAGATAATTCATATAAAATATTTAATACAAAGCTTGATACAAAATAGAGTCTTATAAACAATACCTATAGGATACTTTCCTAAACTTGGGATTCCAGTTATTTAGATGCAAGCAGTATTCAACATTAAAGCTTACCCATCATTGTCAGCTATTCAGTAATTACAGGTCTAAATGACTAAAGCTTTCCCTCCAAGTAAAATTCAAGTACTACATACATCTTTGTCTGCTTGAACATAAAAAAAATTATTCTATCTTGGGAGAAATTCATTTGTTCCCAGGAAGGAAGTTGATTATGCAATACAAAAATAATCCTCAGATGACCATATATTGAAATAATGTACTGACTCTTTATAAAATCAACAGATGACAATTCCCCACCATCATTGAAGAGATAAAAAATTGAGTTCCTCTTTGTTTTGACTAGAGTATATTTATACACAAACACATTTTCAATCTTTTTCCAGGTTCAAGTATAGTTTCTTTAAAATAGGATTCAGATGACATCACTTTTCCATAGAATTCTTTTTACTTTTTCTATATCATATAGGAATATAAATTAAATTCAACATTTACATTGAAGATGAGAAACATATATTAGGCATGCCTAGAAATATAAAATGTTAAGTATTGAGAAATTTAAAAGGCCTAATTTAAGACTTTACTAAAAATTTTCAATGCCTGACTATTAATATACAGTAGCTCTTTCAACTGTAATTTAAATGGCAGCAAATCTTTTCAAATGTACTGAAAGTTAAAGTCATCCTAGTTTTTCACATTGTTTTTCACAACGTGTTTTCACATTGTGTTTTTTCACATTGCTTCACTCTTTGCTTTGACTATCAGAAAGTTCAGGATTAAAGTTTTAACTCAAGGGTAGTCATGATCCCCTATGCAGCTCCTAGCAAAATTATCTTCTTTTACTCTAAATAATTTCTGTTCTTTATTTTATTGCCCTGTTTATGTCTGCATGAAATTTTAGGATAGGTTTTCTTAAATTCTTTCTTGAAGAGGACAAAGTGACAAACTATTTGCTCTTGTGATTATTACTTAATTTACTCTTATTTTGTATAATTCAAATATATTCCTTGAATTCAAACTTTTGATATTTTTATACAGGAAAAAATTTGAGAGGTGAAAAATGGAGAAAATGGACAGCAACTCAAAACCTCATCAAAATGTGCCCTCATTTCTCTAGTCTAAAGCAAACTGCATAGAAATACACATACTTAAATATAAGAGGATATTATTATCACTGATAAAATGCTCAGAATGTACCAGGGAAGATATATCATTTATTTACTAAGACCCACATAGCCTTGGCCAAACATTTTCAAGGGACAAAGCCAGAAATGGATTCCTTCTTTGGATATTATCTTAGTAACTTAACATGTTTTAAAAGATCTTAAAAATTCAAGATAAGCCACAGATGATGAGGGTTTTTTTATCTACCTGAAATATTATGTATTTTTCCTATGAAATTCAGAGTCACTTTAAGCTTGAATTTTGTAAAGGGGAAATTTTATCAATCTTTCCATAAACTGATATACCAGCATCTTATGTTCAAAGTAAAAAAAAAAAAATGAGCATAAATAAGGGAGAAATTTTCAACTTTCCTTTAATTGAATAGGAACCACTTTTCATTTTCCAAAGCCAAAAGAAATGGTCTATACATGTATGTACATAAGAGAACATTGAAAAATTTTTTTTAATGAGGTAACTTTCTAAGTAAACAGATGTGTCACTACAAATTTTACCTGACACCCTGCTGAAAAATTCCAGCAAATTAAAGAGAAAGGATTCCACAATGGGTATTTATGGAAATGGTTTGACCAGCATCTTCTGGTAAGGGTACCACGTTCTAAACAGTCATAAAAGAGGATTATCTCATTAAATATCAGGGAAAGTAGCGAGCACACTTGCTAAACAGCCTATGTCACATGATAAGCTAAACAACTTGCCTTGTTTATCATCTTCCAGTTCACTCTCCGAGCATCCATCACCCTCATCTTTCACATTGTCATCAGCATCTGGTGCCTTCCACAAAGTTTCACTTTCCCTTTCAGGGTCTAAATGATCTTTTTCATCATCTGAGGGTGACTTTGACGTTTCATTCATTTGATCATCAGCCTGTCCTTCTTCATTAGCTTTCCCATCTTGTTTCTCCTCATCTGCTTCAAAATCTTCTTCATATTCTGAGAAAAGAAAATCTCCACTATGAGAATGAAAATAGAATCCCTAATACTGAGCCCATTTCACTTTAATGAGGACTTTGACTCTATTATACTCTGCTCTCTGGGCCTTTCTTCACTTCTTTTTCACACAATTAGTGAACATGGAAAACTAATAGCAAATGATCAAAGATAGCAACCAGTTACATATACAAGAGCACTAAAGAAATGAAGCTCCAAATGACCAGCCTGAAACCTAACAAAAGCTCATTTACAAATGGACATCATCATCTACAATAACCAAAATGGACAAGAGAAGAACTTGATAGAAAACAATACATTAGAAATAAATTAAAAATGAAGAGAACAGGATTATAATAATGAAAGTTAATTTGGAGACCCAGTGAGGTCATATTTTAGAGGAAGCATGTTCAAAATATTTGGATATCAAGTTAATGAATAGTGAAGTATAAAAATTCAATTAATCAAGCCCAAAGGCCCTGAGAAGAAACACTATGAATAGTAAATTCTTTGAGAGCACCAAATGGACATCAAAAAGACATTATGAAAGATTCTATACCTGGGCTAGAACTGAAATCATATGCATTATTCATTCCTACAATCAATAAAATAATTACATTCCAAGGATAACAATTCTTATAAAATAGAATATTCCTGTCACAACCATGAATTTGCTTCATTCCCTATAGAAGTATAACACATCTGCAGCAGGAAAAGGAATCTGTCACATCAGATAAACGCCATCTGTCCCTTGTGGTTATAATTTTTCACCTCTTATATTTAATTATTCCCCTTTTTCTTCCACCAAAAACTAAAAATCTTGAAGTGACAACATGCCAAAGATAGAGAGCAAAAGGATTTCATGCAGAACCAATTAAGCAAATAAACAATTATCTTTAAAATAAAGATTACAGGGAAAATAAAGGTTTCCCTTTTTCTGTGTTTTAGCTATTAGATAGTCTGTTTTCTTCTCCAGTGGTGGGGGCCTCTTGGGTAATTACTTGAGAGTGGTCCACTCTGCCACAATGAGAGAAACTTAATTCAGAAATGCATGCCCTGTGCATATGTAGAAAGCTCTTTTAATGCAGAGAAGGTACGAGGGTCATGTTAGAAGAAAAGTGAGATCAAAAACTGTAACAAAAAAGCAAGCAAAGAGAACTCATGAGAATATTTTCATGAAAGAGAGTTAATATGTAGAAAGAGAAATGCAAATTATCAGTTGGACACAATTATAAAATAAGCAAGGAGATGAAAATTTTAGTTTATATTGAATAATACACACAGAAACTACTAGTAAAAACAAATACTTTGATTTCAGGCCAAGTAAGAAGATAACTCCTCATTTGGTCCAGTAAGGTTCTCTTTATTGAGAACTTCCCACGTGGAAGAGGATAAAATTGCAAAAGACATTACAGTAACACAGCCCCTGCCTATCAACGGATCTACAATTTTTGTAGGGGAAATAAGACATAGATAAACACGAAATACTGTACTCATATTGGAATAGTTTTTATACTTGACCCTCAGTAATTCTAGTTTTAACACTATTGGGTTTGATTGCTGTAGATTTTTATATAAGACTCTTGATTAATAACATGAAATAATGTCAAATAAGTGGAATAGAGTCAAATTCAAGAGAGGAAAGTCATTCGGAGATTGTGGAAGACTTCCTAGGGAGTAGCTGAAGTTAGCCACAGAACACACACACACAGAGAGAAACACATCAGAAACAGGTATTTGCTGCTGGTCATAGGATAAGCAGGGACAGATAGTACATGAATAAATTGCTTCAGTTTCATCAACTATTACAGAGTGGTGAAATATGAGGGTTTTAGAGTCACATTGTCATGTATCCAAGGACCAGTTAAACACAGCTCTGTGACCTCAGTCAATTTGCTGAACATCTTTTAAGTTTCAGTTTCTTCATCTATGGTATGAGTGGTACCTGCCTCAGAAACTGGGGCATATTAAAAGCAACAATGTTTAAAATGTGCTTAGTATAGTGCCAAGGAAAGTAGGTACCTAACAAACATTGTTCTGTTGTTTTAGTGGCTAAGTTGTGTCTGATTCTTTTGTGACCCCATGGACTGGAGCCTGACAGGCTCCTCTGTCCATGGTATTTCCCAGGCAAAAATATTGGAGTGAGTTGTCATCTCCTTCTCCAGGGGATCTTGCCCACCCAGGGATCAAACCCTGGTCTCCTGTAGTGTCAGGTGGGTTCTTTACCGCTGAGTCAGGGAAGCCCAAATAAATATTAGAGATTAGTAGTAATTGTGATTGTTTGGGGAGTGGAGGGAGTTGGCAGTAGGACAGAAGAAATCACACACGATATGTGCTATATTGACAGCAATACACTTTAATGGTGGCACCTGATTAAAATGAGAGAAGAACAGTGTCCATAATTAGGACACAATTGCAGTTATATTACTAAAGCAGAGGAAAAATCCCTGCATCCTGTTTAGCAGGAGCTTCAGTGCTTTCTCTCAAAGAGGAAAATCCAAGGCTGCCCCAGATTTGTTCTATCATCACAGTTAAATACTAGTTTCCTATTAACCAGGAGCTCTGTATTAGCATCAGAGCTCAAAACAACTCCTTCATCTATCTACTCATGTTTTCAGTATGAATGAACTAGTGGCATGCTTTCTGGATCTCTTTTCATAATTTCTTCTGTCTCCCCATCTCATCTTTATTCTCCCAGAGAATGTAATTAGGTTGTTGTTTACCATCCCCACTAATGAGGAAGCAAGTCAGTGCAAGGTCAACATCAATCCAGCCGCAACTCTGCCTGGCTGACCTCCACACAGGCTTCTGGCTGCCCTGACCATCAGTGACTGTTTTACAGACAGCTGAAGACTTTATCAGCCTTTTCTTCTTTCTTTTAAGTGGAAATGGGCATTTAAAATCCACTAGAAAGATCTTGAGAAAAGCTGTATTACAGGCATAAAGTATGCTACTCATAGCACCATTTTGGTTTAAGGAAAAAAGTACAGAAATTGAACATGGCCCAAATAAACATACCTATATGTCCTGAAATAGATGGGGAAAAAATGGAAACAGTGACAGATGTTATTTTCTTGGGCTCCAAAATTAGTGCAGACAGTGACTGCACTATGAAATTAAAAGATGTTTTTTCCTTGGAAAAAAAGCTATGACAAACCTAGACAGCATATTAAAAAAGCAGAGACATCACCTTGCCAGCAAAGGTCCATATAGTCAAAGCTATCGTTTTTCCAGTAGTCATGTACGGATGTGAGAGTTGGACCATAAAGAAGGCTGAGCTCTAAAGAATTGATGTTTTCACACTGTGGTGCTGGAGAAGACTCTTGAGAGTCCCTTGGACTGCAAGGAGATCCAACCAATCCATCCTAAAGGAAATCAACCCTGAATATTCATTGGAGTCAACTTACTGGGTATTAAAGGTAGCAGAGTATGCCGCCTCACACTATGCCACTTGGGTATAAGGATTGTTTTGAGCTGAAGGCAACTGAGAAGTTGTAAATAGGAGAGCTCTCAGCCCTCATCCTATTTCCCTAAAAGCAAGGCATAAATTTTCCTCTTAATTAATTAATCTTTTTTAACTGTGCTGTCTTCCTTGCTGTGTGAGGGCTTTCCCTGGTCGCCAAGAGCAGGGGCTGCTCTCTAGTTGGGGAGCACAGACTCCTCACCGCAGTAGCATCTCTTATTGTACAGCAAGGGCTCTAGAGTGCATGGCCTCAGTAGTTGTGGTGCACGGGTTCAGCTGCCCCTGGTAGCATTTGGGATCTCCCTGGACCAGGGATCAAACCATGTACCCTACACTGGAAAGTGGCTTCTTAACCACTGGACCACCAGGGAAGTCCCAGGACATAAATTTTTGAAGGTGTCTCCCCTTTCCTCTCTCCCAGGAAGGACAGAAGTTAATCATAGGAGGCAGCTCTGATCCTTAACAGCCCAGAGATGGCACCAGAGAAATCAACATAAACTTCATTGAAACTAGCCCTTACATAACATTAGTTTCCACATAATATTTGCTTTCCCACAATTCACTGTCCCTGGAAGCTCAAAGTCACTTTCCTTTGCCTTGTCACTTCGTGAAAAAAATGTACTATTCTTTCATTAGATGCCATATAAGCCCAAGTTCTAACCACCACTTAGAGTTACCCAGCTTTGAGTGCCCCCATCCATATGCATGATGCACCTGCTATCAAACTTCTGTTTGTTTTCCCTTTTTAATCTCCTGTTGGTTTTATTTACATGGACATAGCTAATGAACCTAAGATGGATAGAGGGAAAGTCATTTTTCCTTTCCTACAGAATGAATCCTAGCTCTGCTACTTTCTCTCTGTATGCCTGAGCCTTATTTTCTTAAAATGGAGAGAGTAATAATATCTACTACATCAAAGGAAAGCTATGACAAACCTAGACAGTGTATTAAAAAGCAGAGACATCATTTTGCAGCAAAGGTCCATATAGTCAAAGCTTTGGTTTTTCTCACACTCATGTACAGATATGAGAGTTAGACCATAAAGAAGGCTGAAATGTCTTAGAATTGATGCTTTTGAACTGTGGCACTGGAGAAGACTCTTGAGAGTCCCTTGGACAGGAAGGAAATCAAACCAGTCAATCCTAAAGTAAATCAACCATGAATATTTATTGGAAGGACTGATGCTAGAGTTGAAGCGCCAATACTTTGGCTACCTGATGGAAAAGACCCTGATGCTGGGAAAGATGGAGGACAAGAGGAGACAAGGGTGACAGAAAATGAGATGGTTGGATGGCATCACTGACTCAATGGGCATGAGTCTGAGCAAATTCTGGGGGATAGTGAAGGACAGGAAAGCTTGGCATGCTGCAGTTAATGGGGCTGCAAAAAGCTGGACATGACTTAGCAACTGAACAATAGCAACAACATCAAAAGATGAGGCTGTGTGTGTGTGTGTATATATATATATATATGGTAAGGAGATATATACACACACACACACGTGTGTGTATACGTTTAGAGGGGAAAGAAAGGAGGAGAAGGAGGCAGAGGAGGAGGATGGGAGGAAGAAGATGAAGAGGAAGGAGGAGAGGAGGAAAGGGGAGGGGAGAAGAGGGAAGGCAAAGGAAGAAAAAAAACAAGAAATGCAGACAGGTTCCAGGACCCCAGGCCTATATTTTCAAATGTTTTCAGTTATGGAATATTATCTCATTGTACTATCATATAGGCTGTGCCTTCCTAATGCCAAAGAATCAATTTCATCAGAGCAAACACATCAGTTCAGTTCAGTTCAGTTGCTCAGTTGTGTCCGACTCTTTGTGACCCCATGGACTGTAGCACACCAGACCTCCCTGTCCATCGCCAACTCCCAGAATTTACTCAAACTCATGTCCATTGAGTTGGTGATGCCATCAAACCATCTCATCCTCTGTTGTCCCCTTCTCCTCCTGCCTTCAATCTTTCCCAGCATCAGGGTCTTTTCAAATGAGTCAGGTGGCCAAAGTATTGGAGTTTCAGCTTCAGCATCAGTCCTTAAAATGAATATTCAGGACTAATTTCCTTTAGGATGGACTGGTTGGATCTCCTTGCCGTCCAAGAGACTCTCAAGAGTCTTCTCCAACACCACAGTTCAAATACATCAGTTCAATACACAGTTCAAATACACAGTTCAAGTACATCAGATACTGAAAAAAATAGGCGAAATTCTGGTGAAGTGAACAGAGCCTCCGCCCACACAGATAGTCTCTTCCCTGCCTCCCCTACAAGCACCTCCAACCTCCTGGAATTAGGCAGCCCTCCTCTAAGACAACTCACACAGAGAGAAAGTGAAAGTCACTCAGTCGTGTCCAACTCTTTGCAACCCCATGGACTGTACAGTCCATGGAATTCTTCAGGCCAGAATACTGGAGTGGGTAGCCTTTCCCTTCTCCAGGGGATCTTCCGGACCCAAGGATAGAACCACATTACAGGCGGATTCTTTACCAGCTGAGCCCAACTCAACAAGGGAAGCCCAACTCACATCAAACTCCTTGCAAAACAGTGGAGGAAGGTGATCAGGGAGAGTCCTCCTTGCCACAGAGTTGCCTGAGGATCAAAACTGAGTAACAACATTTAATGGATAGTTTTGCAAATTTTCATAATTATATTCTAAAGACTTCAACAAAATAACAGCAACAACAAAAGAAAACAGTGTCATGCATTACCATATTTAAATATGTTTCCTTGGTCATCTTCCCAGACATCTTGCCCTGGTTTTTCTTTACATTCCATTTCTTCGACAGCAGTTCTCACTTCACTGAGCCCTGCATGTAGTTCTTGAGCTGAAAAAACGACTGAAGCTGAGGCTTTGCTCCCTTCCATATCTCTCCTTCTTGGTATCAGGCACTCTCTATCCTTCCTCAGTTTCCCCTCACCCTTCTTCTGTCCCTCTTTTTTCTCAGTGTTCTTTTCTTTCCTGGGTTTTGGAGAAGTTGTTTTTTTGTCAAGACCCATTGCAATAATGCACCTAGGAAAAAACATTAACATAAAGCATGATTAATCTTTATACACAGCAGAACCACAAAGGTCTTTAAACTACTTCTCTTACCCCAGGAAGAAATGTTGTAAGAAACATATTTATCATAGTGCACATAGTTAATCACAAATTAACTACTTTTTTCTTATCAATATAACAATCTTGTAAGTAAACACACAAAAAAATCTTAGTTTTACCTACAATAATAAACAAGAAAAGGAAGCAACTTAGTAACTATGAATTATAGTCTCAAATTAAGCTTTGTGCCTTAAAGTATATTTTTGGCTCTAGAACAGAGTCAAGTAGACAGAGAGAGAGATAGATATTTAAGTCTTTAAATTAGAATTATGTGATAAATGGACATTCAGGTTTATCAGTAAAAGGAAGCTAAAATAAAAGTTATCAGAAGATGTTATTCAGTCTTTGATAATTTATTATTCCAACATCACAATAAAAAAAAAAGACTTACCTGTAAGGTTGAATCTAAATAAATGATTTACTTTTTTTAAGAAACAAAAATATTTTTGCACCCTTTAATCAAATATTTCAGGAGCCTGAGTGCTTATTGTAATAGAACTGTCATCATTACTTTTAGAATGGTCTTTTAAAGCCCGTGGGTTTCCCTGGCTCAGACAATAAAGAATCTGCCTGCAAAGCAGGAGACCTGGGTTCCGATCCCTGGGTCAGGAAGATCCTCTGGAGAAGGGAATGGTAGCCCACTCCAGTATTCTTGCCTAGAGAATTCCATGGACAGAGGAACCTGGTAGGCTACAATCCATGGAGTTGCAAAGAGACACAACTGAGCAACTAACACATAACAACTTTGAAACCTGTACCACAACCTTCTGTTGATTTTTGTTGCCAATGTTTTTGTGCTTTGAAAATGGCAATAATCTCCAGCGGTTATATGGTCATTCAAATTCAAATCTGGTGAGCCAGCAGATGATATGAATGTATTAAGATATTAAAAAATATTTTTAAAAATCAGTTATAAAAAAAGTTAAGATCAATAAATTCTTCTATAGTTTTTTTTCCTGTTTCTCAAGATAATATCAAAATAGGAATTGTAATTATGATAATACACATTAATAAATATGATGACTATGATAACAATAAACGTATCAAGCGCTCCTTCTGTGCCAATCTCTTATGCGAGGGACTTTGTATACATGATCTTATAGGATACATTCCTCTACAGACAAGTTACTTAAGAATTATCATCATCACTTTACAAATGAGGAGACTGAGGCTTTAGGGGCTTTACATCATCACCTTACAAATGAGGAAACTGAGGCTTTAGTTCCATGACTTGCCCAGGTTCACCCAGCAGGTTAGTGATGAACCTGGATTTCAGCTCAGGACTATTAGACTCCATCACCTCACACTGAAGTACACCCATATTAATAAATTACAGCTACAGCCTTCTCAGATGACTGCTTACACAGACAAATGTCACACACGGCTGGGCTTACCACCAGAGCAAGTACTCACACTTTCACCAGAGACTAACACAATGTGGAGAAGTTTTTACCAAGGCCTAGAGACAATCTGTAACCTGAAATAGGTGCCTGGTAGTTACTGGCCTCCCTACTCCTCCTCTAGAACTTTACCCAGGCCCTTCTCTCCATGTCTCACAACTCTTGGTGAACTGAGCCAATTAGAGTGGGATTAGAATATCGTCAAGACTTGTCAGTCCAGGAAGAATCGAAACCATACATAAAAATCTGAAAATCACCTCAGTGTGAATCAAAACTAATGGCAATCTCTTCAAATGAAGATCTCACTAAATTTCAGCCATCCCTAGACTAGCAGTAGCAAATATGAGGGCTTTGTTATATCACTTATCCTTTCACTATCTCTCTGTAAAATAAGGCTAAGTGGATAGGCACTCTAACTATCAGAGGCTGTGAAAAATGGGATAATAAGAACACACTTACCTCACCCATATTAGCATGATAAATTATTTCTCAACTATAATGATGATATACTTAGCACATTGCTTTCCTTGGAATAAAGGTGTCATGAATCTTCAAAGACTATGATTACTAGCATTGCCTTCTGTTCAAGCTGTTCTTCCCTTATCAATGGCACCACCGAATCCATTGATTTGGAGCCTCTGATATGCTGTTACTTTTAGTTTATGTTGTGACTGTGTAGAGGCTTTGATGCCTCCCTACTGCCTGTGCAGACGTTTTATGGCCCATCTGCTTAAGGGAATTAGACAAACGAAGTGGGTAACATCTGTGCTCTCCTCGTCACTGACTACCTATTTGACTTCTGAGTATAATTTGAGGTGTTGATTCTGATTACTGAAGCTCAAAGCAGTATGCATTCTACTTGGTTAGGCAATTTTTCTTCCTGTGTTTCACTTTAGCAATGGAAAATAACTACCATGCCTCTTCAAAGAGGTCCCATGATTGAGGGATGGGTACCAGTGTGGAACCTCCACATTTTGGTAATGAACACTGCTGAATTTTTCTTGTTTTCTAAGGACCTCAAAACAGGTAATTCCAAATCACTTAGTAAAAATAGAATTCCCTATTGTTTTAGTTGCCCTCATGAATTAAAATGAACTTCATTTTTAACAAACTGGGGTAAGGAAAGCACGTCTCTCAAAATAACTAAGGAAAGGTATTACTATGGGTGTGGCAGAAGTTACAGAATATTACAAGTGATATCAATCTCCTGAGGGATAGTTTTCAACTTTCACTGGAGTTCTGCAGTGTCAGTGTTTCTGGAATAAACAAAGTCATCTTCAACAGAGCAGAGCCAAACAAGCAAGGCTGTAGCCCTCACTGGTCCATCCCTGCCCCATTTAAACCAATCTGCACTGAATTGACTTTCACCTGAGCTGCAGTAGGGACACATCAAGTGACACCACATGTTCTACTTGGGACATTCACAGATTTCATTTGGAGAAATGATTATGAAGCTAACAAAACACTGAAAACCAATGTCCTATGAGAATTGTGCAGTTTAGTTGAGGGTCAAGAGTTACCTGGAGTAACAGGCAAATTCAGCCTTGGACTACAAAACAAAGCAGGTCGAAGGCTAACAGAGTTTTGCCAAAAGAAAGCACTGGTCATAGCAAACACCCTCTTCCAACAACACAAGAGAAGACTCTACACATGGACATGACAAGATGGTCAATACTTAAATCAGAATGATTATCTTCTTTGCAGCCAAATATGGAGAAGCTCTATACAGTAAGAAAAAATAAGACTGGGAGCTAACTGTGGCTCAGATCATGAACTCCTTATTGCCAAATTCAGACTTAAATTTAAGAAAGTAGGGAAAACCACTAGATCATTCAGGTATGACCTAAATCAAATCCCTTACAATTATATGGTGGAAGTGACAAACAGACTCAAGGCATTTGATCTGAGAGAGTGCCTGAAGAACTATGGACAGAGGTTTGTGACATTGTACAAGAGGCAGTGATCAAAACCATCCCCAAAAAAGAAATGCAAAAAGGCAAAATGATTCTCTGACAAGGCCTTACAAATAGCTGAAAAAAGAAAAGACGCAAAAGGCAAAGGAGAAAAGGAAAGATATACGCATTTGAATGCAGAGTTCCAAAGAATAGCAAGGAGAGATAAGAAAACCTTCCTCAGCAATCAATGCAAAGAAATACAGGAAAACAATAGAATGGGAAAGCCTAGAGATCTCTTCAAGAAAGTTAGAGATATCAAGGGAATATTTCACATAAATATGGGCACTATAAAGAAATCTTATGGACCTAACAGAAGTAGAAGATATTAAGAAGAGGTGGCAAGAATATACAAGAACTATGCAAAAAGATCTTCAACCCAGATAACCACGATGGTATGATCACTCACCTAGAGCTAGACATCCTGGAGTCTGAAGTAAAGTGGACCTTAGGAAGCATCACTATGAACAAAGTTAGTGGAGGTGATGGAATTCCATTTGAGTTACTTCAAATCCTAAAAGATGATGTTGTGAAAGTGCTGCACTCAATATGCCAGCAAATATGGAAAACTCAATAGTGGACACAGGACTGGAAAAGGTCTGTCTTCATTCCAGTGCCAAAGAATGTTCAAACTACTGCACAATTGCACTCATCTCACAAACTAGTAAAGTAATGCTCAAAATTCTCCAAGCCAGGCTTCAACAGTGTATGAACTGTGAATGTTCCAGATGTTCAAGCTAGATTTAAAAGAGAGAGGAACCAGAGATCAAATTGCCAACATCCATTGGAAAAGCAAGACCATTCCAGAAAAATATCTATTTCTGCTTTATTGATTATGCCAAAGCCTTTGACTGTGTAGATCACAACAAACTGTGGAAAATTCTGAAAGAGATGGGAATACCAGACCACCTGACCTGCCTCCTGAGAAAGCTGTATGCAGGTAAAGAAGCAACAGTTGGAACTGGACATGGAAAAACAGACGGGTTCCAAATTGGGAAAGGAGTACATCAAGGTTGTATATTGTCACCCTGCTTACTTAACTTATATGCAGAGTACATCATGAAAAATGCTGGGCTGGATGAAGCACAAGCTGTAATCAAGATTTCAGGAAGAAATATCAATAACCTCAGATATGCAGATGACAATACCCTCATGGCAGAAAGTGAAGAAGAACTAAAGAGCCTCTTGATGAAAGTGAAAGTGGAGAGTTTAAAAGTTGGCTTAAAATTCAACATTCAGAAAACTAAGCTCATCGCATCTGGTCCCATCACTTCATGGCAAATAGATGCGTAAACATGGAAACAGTAAAAGACTTTATTTTTTTTTTCTCCAAAATCTGCAGATGGTGACTGCAGCCTTGAAATTAAAAGACACTTGCTCTTTGGAAGAAAAGCTATGACCAACCTAGATATCATATTAAAAAGCAGAGACAGTTCTTCACCAACAAAGGTACATCTAGTCAAAGCCATGGTTTTTCCAATAGTCATATATGGATGTGAGAGTTAGAATATAAAGAAAGCTGAGCACCAAAGAATTGATCCTTTTGAACTGTGGTGTTGGAGAAGACTCTTGAGAGTCCCTTGGACTGCAAGGAGATCAAACCAGTCCATCCTAAAGGAATCAGTCCTGAATATTCATTTTAAGGACTGATGTTGAAGCTGAAACTCCAATACTTTGGCCACCTGATGCGAAAAACTGACTCATTTGAAAAGACCCTGATGCTGGGAAAGATTGAAGGTGGGAGAAGGGGATGACAGAGGATGAGATGGTTTGATGGCATCACTGACACGATGGACATAAATTTGACTAGGCTCCGGGAGTTGGTGATGGACAGGGAAGTCTAACATGCTGCAGTCCATGGGATCACATAGTCAGACACGACTGAGTGACTGAACTGACTGACTGAAAAGACTTTACTCTTAAATACCCAAGCCATTTTATTTGTTGATGTTATTCACTCGCTAAGTTGTTTCTGACTCTTTGAGACCTGATGGACTGCAGCATCCAGGCTCCTCTATTCTTCACAGTCTCCCGGAGTTTGCTCAGATTCAAGTCCATTGAGTCGACGATGCTTTCTAACCATTTTATCCTCTGCCATGCCCTTCTCCTTTTGCCTTCAATCTTTCTCAGCTTGAACATTTCAAAGAAAGAAGCTAGAGGAAACCAAGTGAAATCATATAAAGAATTGTACAGATGCTCGTAAGAATTGAATAGGAGAGTAGATGCCATCAATCAGATTTTGGTACTGATTATTAAACCTCCATAGAAAGTGTTTAGGACCAAACATTTTATAGCTTGGATTTATACAGCAATTCCCAGTGAGTGCTACGTGTTCACACATGCGTGATTGTACACAAACTTATTAGCTTTCCTGCCAGTTAAACAGAAATGTGTTAAATGACTTGCCCGCAAATATGGAAAAGGCATATTTGACTTGGAACAGAAAAGCAACTGCAAGTATGCCCTAAGTGCACCTCAGCATTCCTACTACTTGCCCTAGACCATTCACTGTGCCACTTGTACCTCTTCTCTCACCTATAATTTCCAGATTTTTCCTCCCTTAGCCTTAACCTCAGCTGATAAATTCTTGTTTGACCAGAAAACAGAAACAATCAGCAGAGAACTTCCAGGTGGTCCAAAAACATCCACCAATTTACATCTCTCTGTGCCCTATAGCCATCTTTCTTCCTGTTACTTCATCTAAGGCTAATACCTCCATTTGAGCCCGAGATCCCATCTCTTCTCATCTACTCAAGCACTAAATATCTGCCTCTATATCATGCCTGATCAATGCTTTCCTTTCCTCAGGTATTAATGCTGTCTATCAGCTTTTAACCATATTATGATATCGCCAATCTTAAAAAAATAATAAGCCCCTCTTGGGCCCCTCCATCCTTCCTCCTGGCGGCCACCCAATTTCCATCCTTCAGAGCAAAGCTCTTTAATAAGAGCTATCTATAATCTCTGGCCTCAGCTCTTCTCCAATTGTGTATTAAACCCACTCCAATCAAACATGAATTCCTACCACTCCCTTATAGCAACTTGTGTCAAGATCATCAATAACCAACACATTACCAAATCATGCTCAATCCAGAGTCTTCACTTTGCTTCACCTAGCCATACCTTGGACCCAGTTGATCATGCCTAATTCTTTAAAGATTTTGTTCATTTCCAGGACATTGCTTTCTCTAGTTTCTCTGTCTAATCATTGGCCTTCCTTCCCTAGGCTTTTTTTTTTCCTGGTTCCTCTTTATCTTCCTTCCCTTTGAATGAAAATGACAAAAGCTCATTACTCAGACATCTTTTCTTACTGCCTTCCATTCTTAAGCAGATTCATCCCATCTTATGACTTTAAATGCCATCCATATGTAAACCATCCTCAAATTTATATCTCCAGCCTGAACATCTCACCAGACACCAGATTAACTGATCCAACTACTTATTCAACATTTCTACTTGCACATCTCATAGATGTCTCTAATTCAGTGTATCCAAAACCAAAATACCTTCCTTCCACTTCCAAACCTACATCTTCCACAGTCTGTCCTGTGTTAACTGGGCATCTTTCAAGTTGTTCAGGCTAAAAACTTTTCAATCACTCTGCTCTTTATCTCATGCCCTGCATCCAATCCATCAATAAATCCTATAAATCCTACCTTCAAAATTCATCTAGAACCTAATTTCTTATAACTCTTTCCACCATTCTCTTGCCTCTGGATTAAAGTAGTTTCCACCGTTTCCTCACCCTCCCTAGTTTATTTTTCCCATAAGAGCCACTGTCAGATGATGATAAGCCATTGCTTAAAACCTACCTTAGAGGCTTCCCATCCCCCTCAGAATAAAAGTCAAAGTCTTTGCCGTGACCATAGGACTCTGCATGACTTGACCCCACTGTCTCTCTGACCTCATCTTCTATCACTGTCCCATTCCTCATTTGTGCTCTGACCACACAAGCTTACATACGCCAAGCATCATCCTGTCTCACACCCTTTGTCTATGCTTTTCCTCTACCTGAAAACCTATTTGAAAAAGGGAACATTTTTCCTGGTTTCTGCTTGAAAGACATCAGAGAGGCCTTTACTATCCATCCTACGTAATAGAATACTGCCTCTGACCCTTTTACCCCTTGCCATTCCTTTTATCTCCATGACCTTATCTTGTGTTTATTACCATCTCATATATATTAAAAGACAGAGCACCAAAGAATTGCTGCCTTCCAAGAACTGTGGTGCTGGAGAAGACTCCTGAGAGCTCCTTGGATAGCATGGAGATCAAACCAGTCTATCTTAAAGGAAATCAACCTTGAATATTCTTGAAATCAGTCCTTGAAAGGACTGATGCTGAAGCTGAAGTTCCACTATTTTGGTCAACTGATGCAAACAGCTGACTCATTGGAAAAGTCCCTGATTCAGGGAAAGATGGAGGGCAGATGGAAAAGTGGGCATCAGAGGATGAGATGACTGGATGGCATCACCAATGCAATGGACATGAACTTGGGCAAACTCCAGGAGATGGTGAGGGACAGAGAGGCCTGGCATGCTGTAGTCCATGTTGTCGCAGAGAGTCAGACATGACTGGATGACTGAACAACATAGATTAATTGGTTGGTGTACTATTGGTATATTGGCATTGATTTATTGGTATATTACTTGCACTTCCCCAATCAGAAGGCACTCCATGGGTCAGAATCTTTGGCACAGAAAGATGTTCTATCTTGGCACAGAATCAATTAATTCTCCATGAGTACTTTCAGGAGAAAGTTAAACAAAGCCTGCAAGAAAATCTACTGATCTCAAATAGAATGTCCAATATGAAAACTGATAAACAGTAGTCAGAACTGACCTGTTTACATGTACTTTTTTATGGCTGAGATTGAAACTAGCAGCATGAAAGTGATCATTGGGCTACACGATAATGAAGGCATACCCCTAATATACATAACCTGTAATATCCAATTGTATAAGCTGAATGCTTGACACATGCTCTGGAGCTCAGCCCAAAATCAATTACTATGAGGAATGAGGTGGGGAAAAAACCTCCCTCTTTCCCTTTAGAAACAGAACTTAAGCATTACAAGGAAAGGAAGAGGTAGAAAAGAAATGGAATTTGAAACACCACCAGCTTTTATCCCCACTATATAATACAACTGAAAATCTACTTTTCATCTTATAATTTTAAATACAACATACAGGATTGTGATAAACAACCTTAACCTTAGATATTTTAGGCTCATCTACATTAGTATGATTCTTAACAAATTGTGCTGAGAAATACATCAGTAAAAGCATACAAAGGAGCATGTAGCAAAATTGCCCTCTACCAAAGAACATTTGTTTCCATACTTGTAACAAGGAGATGATCTCTCGACACACACAAACCCGAAGTAGCCTCGTTTGCCTCCAAGTCTGGAACCTTTTCGATGCTTGTATTCACAGCAGGAGCTTAATCTGTTCACCTGTATCCCATTCAGGAAAAAGGTGAGGCTGAAGGGGAAACCTTGGTGCCTCTTGGAAATAAACTGAAAGGTCTCTGGAATTCAAAAAGGAAATACATTAATGAAAGCAACTGACTTTGAACTAACGTGTTCTAAATCACATTTTTCTGGCAGGTAAGTACGATATTATTTTCTAGATCTCCTTTTGCTTAACTTGAGGACAATTTTTAATCACAAAAACACATTCTATTGCATATATATATAGTATAACAAATACTCCAAGGTAATATAAAACTCTTTGATTTATAATAAAATAATAAAACCTAAAATTATATGAACACTTAATATGGCCAGACATTATGCTTGATTACTTTGGATGTATTATTTCTAGACAACCATATGAAGTGCAGATATTACCATCATTAGTTTCTATAATGCAGAAATTTAAGTTTAGATGGATTCAGTAATTTAGCCAAGATCATACAGTAAGTGGGAGAGTCAGTGTTTGAATCCAAACATGTCTCTGGACTCCACACTTCTATGTTGCTATGCTATCTACCAATAAAGCACATAACGAAAGGTGACTATGAGCTCAGTAATGCTTCTATGTGACTATCTTTTAATTCACTAGTGTTTTTAAATAAATTTATTTTTTAGCTGTGACTCAAAACATCCTGATACATATATGGATGAGGCAGAATCATTCTATCTTCAGTCCATCCTCAGTTATGCCTAGATTTGAGATCGCTTCTTGATCCCCTACCAACCCAAAAGTCTCACCAATAAATTAAGAACCACTGCTTGTAATTAACAGGTTTTAATCATTCCATGTCTCTATAATGCTCTTTGAAGAAGTCTCACCCTAGACATTCCAAAACCCAATTCTCCATGCAAGAATACCGAGTGGCGTGCCATTTCCTCCTCCAGGGGATTTTCCCAACCCAGGGATCAAACCCACATCTCTTGTGTCTCCTTCATTGGCAGGCAGATTGTTTACCATTAGAACTACCTGGAAGCCCTCTAGCAGGGAAGAACATGCCTTAAGTAAACTGCAGTTTCACTGTCAGTGGAGGATGACTTGATTTGGAGGAAAAAAAAAACCTAAAAAACTTTGGTCAGTGGCATTATGAGTAATAATCTACAATCCCAGAAGCAAATTAACAGGGAAGGTCAGAGGTTCTTCTAACTATGAGACTGTAGTTCTAATTAGAGCAAGCAACAGGTCAGCAGATTAGCCAGAAATTTAACAGGGAGATACAGGCAATAATGCAGTCATATACACATTCAATAAGCTTTCCACACATCCCCAGCTAACTGGAAACGACATGGATTGAAGTAGGCCCAACCTATTCACACATCCCTGTCCTACTGGGAGCTTGCACCTGTATACAAAGGAAACATGACAGCCTGGTGGAAAATAAAAGTTGAAACAGACCTGAAAACTGTCTGAACTTTGAATGTTCTCCTGAACCCACTATAGTGGGTTGAATATTGCCCTCCAAAAATTCATGAATACTCAGAACTTTAGAATATGACCTTATTCTGAGATAGAATCTTTGTAGATATAATCAGGGAAGGCTCAAGATGAGATTATCCAGAATTTGTTTTGTCCTAAATCCAATGACTGATGGCCTTATAAGAAGAGGAGAGGACACACAACACACACACACACACACACACACACAGATACACAGAGAAGAATGACATGTGAGGATAGAAGCATAGGTTGAAGTGATGGAGCTACATGCTATAAAACACAAAGGATTTTGCTAAGGATCACCAGATGTTGGAAGAGGCAAGGAAAGATTCTCCCCTTAAGCTTTTAGAGGGAGTATGGCCCTGCTAAGACCTTAATTTTAGACTTCTGGCCTCCAGAACCACAAGATGATAAATTTCTGTTATTTTAAGCCACCAAATTTAGGGGCATTTTCTATGTCAGCTCCGGGAAACTAATAAACCTACAAAGAGACTCACTGGCAGAAGACAGAGGATACACTGGCTCAAAGTGTTTGACTACAACCTCTGACAAATCATTGGATGATCACTAAACAATGAAAATACAGAGACAAGCCGAAGAGATTAGCCTAAAAAATATAAACAAAATTAAAAATAATCAAAGCAGAGACATTAATGGCTATATACCAAGGAAAGAGGGCATGAACTTCAGATTTGTTCTAGATAAGCTATTAAACAACAACAAAACCAAGAATAACTTTCCAGAGGGAAAGTGAAATTCAGAATCCACAGCTGCTGTAATACATGATCTAAAATGTCGAGTTTTCAACAACAACAACCAAAAAATCCTCAAAGATAAAAAGAAACTGGAAAGGGTGTGACCCATTCTCAGGAAGTGAAAGCCATCAAACCCATTCCTAGGACGTGGCTCAAGAGAAATGGCAATTGATGTCAACACAGAAATCTTGTCTTTGTATACTCATTACAGCATGATTTAGAATAGTCCCAAACTGGGAAAAGTGCGAGTGAAGTGAAGTAGCTCAGTCATGTCCAACTCTTTCTGACCCCATGGACTGTAGCCTGTCCATGGTATTTTCCAGGCAAGAATACTGGAGTGTGTTGCCATTTCCCTGTCCAGGGTATCTTCCCGACCCAGGGATCGAACCCAGGTCTCCTGCATTGCAGGCAGACTCTTTACTGTCTGAGCCACCAGGGAAACCACCAGGGAAACAATACAAATGTCCACCAATTTGGTAAATGAATAAAATGTGGCAGATCCACGAAACAGAATATATTCAGTGCTATGAGAAGAGAGCAACTATTGATGAATGCTACAATGTATGACTCTCATGTTGATTCATGAGATGTATGAATGTTGATTCATGTTGATGTATGGCAGAAACCAACACAATATTATAAAGCAATTACCCTCCAGCTTGCTCAATGGTAAAGAATCCACCAGCCAATCAAGGAGACACAGGCTTGATCCCTGGGTCAGGAAGATCCCCTGGAGAAGGAAATGGCAACCCACTCCAGTATTCTTGCTGAGAAATCCCATGGAAAGAGGAGCCTGGTGGGCTACAGTCTATGGGGTTGCAAAGAGTCAGACACAACTTAGTAACTAAACAACAACAAAAAATAAATTAATTAAATTTTTAAAAATTATATACAGTAAGTTAAAAAAAAAACCATATGCTAACTGAAAGAAGCAAGATACAAAATCCTGCCTATTGTATGATTTCATTTACAAGATGTCCAGAGAAGGCAGACCTGTGGAACCTGAAAGCATATTAGTGCTGCCCTGGGGCTGCCCATGAGAGTGAGGATTCATTGTCAAAGTGTGGGCACGAAGGAAAATGGTGATAACGACTGCACAGCCCTATAAAATTCCTAACTGTCGGCCAATTGTCCACGTAACAGTGGGTGAACTTTATGGAATGCAAGCTACTATAAAATTCCTAACTGTCGGCCAATTGTCCACGTAACAGTGGGTGAACTTTATGGGATGCAAGCTACTATAAAATTCCTAAATGTCGGCCAATTGTCCACGTAACAGTGGGTGAACTTTATGGGATGCAAGCTACATCTATTGTTTTTAATTTTTTAAAAAATCAATATATAATAACAAGTAAAAGAAAAAAAACCAGTTAACATAAGTCAAGGTACAATAAATACTTCAGTTTTAGGTACAGACTAAGAACCATGACCAATCAAGAGAGAGGGATAAAACAAAATAGAAGTCAGCTGAGAAAACTTCACAACCTTGATCTGAATCTTAAAAGATGGGTAAGATTTGAGTTTAAAATACAATTTTCAATTTAAAATTCTTTGTCCTGTTACAAAGAAAATAGCACAGGAAAAGATCAGATAACAGTGTGTGGTGAGGGTGGGAGGAGGAGGCAGGGGGACCAGTGAAGCATCTGCTGTGTTTGTGAAGAAGTAGTGAGGGAGGCACAAATAGTTACAACAGGATCAGGTTATGGAAATACAAGAAAATGGGGCAGAAAAGGGATTATAAGAGAGCCAGAAAAAAGTTACTTTGTTCTTCATATCCATATGAACCCAGGAGGCCAGCGTCTGCCTTATTTGAAAGGATGAACGGTAAATAAAACTGCTGTGAAGAACTGTACTCTTTACAAGTAGCAAAAATATTCTGTACCTTCACAGGTGTACATAATACACAATCAATCTATGGCCTGATGTCTAAACTCAAACTACAAGACATCATGAATCACTATTATAATAAAAGATGCACTTGCTATGTTCCTAAATAATTAATTTTTGGTTATGCTCATCCAAAAGCAAGACAAATTAATAAATACCACATTTTTAATGAGTTTACTGCTCCAAGCATAATGCTAAAAGACCTTTTTCTTAAAGCAGAAATCTTCTAAAAACTTATTCACATTTCACTGAATCACACACAGCTTTGATCTGTAAAAGGGCAGATTCTTTTCAGTCCAGCTAAATTGCTAAGACTGCTGAACTACAAGCTAACTTGAAGACACCCAACTTTTTCAGTTTTGAACAATTACTTTCCTAGCAATCAAGGGCAAGCTGAGATAAAATTATTGTGTGGACAGGATTCAATTATTTAAGAACCCATTACATCCTACTATTTAAGATTGTCCAATGACATAACATAAAGTCAGTCCCAGGATCAATATGCATGCAAAATAACACTTAGCTGAGTAACACTCTCCAGTAACCTTTTGCAATCTTATCACAGAGTGGATATCATCTCCCAGAAAATCCTTCAGCCAAGTCTTGTCCTTTTTCCAATTGTATGTACATTTTCCAACAGTCAAAAAGCCATTATATATGAATTCTGTTGGATAAGGCATGATCCAAGACCCAGGAAAAGTTTCATTATGTTAATTCCAATTTGAGGCTATAGCTAATTTTAGAAATTCTTCTAAATTAATAGTTGAAAATGATATGCTCAAAAAATAAGTGCAATCATTTATCATTAGGGCTTTCATAGCCCTCATATTATGAAAATATTTGAAACACTTTGCTACTGAGAATAGCTAACTGGGGCCAGATAGTGAACTGAAGTGAAATTGCTCAGTCATGTCCGACTCTTTGCATTCCCTTGGACTGTAGCCTACTAGGCTCCTCCATCCATGGAATTTTCCAGGCAAGAGTTTTGGAGTGGGTTGCCATTTCCTTCTCCAGAGGATCTTCCCAACCCGGGGGTCGAACCCAGGTCTCCCGCATTGCAGGCAGACGCTTTACTGTCTGAGCTACCAGGGAAGCCAGATAGTATTTAATACTAAACAAGGGTCCTGCACCTAGTGGTGGGGAGGGGTGGAATCGGCTCTCAACCCTGGTCAGAGCTGGGAGTGTGACCTCGGGGAAGTCTGTACCTCTGATGCCTCTCATTTTTCTCATCTACACAATAAAAGGAACAAATTCTCAAAGGCTATGACAAAATAAAACAAGGTAAATCATAATGCAGGCAAGTACATAAAATGGGAAAAATAATTTCTAGCATTTTTTCAAAGAAATTTTTTTTATAAAGAAAAATGTTTTTCATTACAAAACAATATATATAGTTCATTATATATTTGATATGTATATAATTAATTATAATATATGATATTTTACTCTAAGTTAAAACCAACATTCAAATGTTTATCCTTGCTTATGTTGGAAAGTTTTCAATATTTTATCCCTAAATATGTATAGTTCTTTTTAAGTGCTAGAACTTTTTTAAGTTAATAGTCACTGTTTTTGATTGATGAGGGAAATCAGAAAAGTCAAAAGTAACAACACCATGCTTGCTCCCAACTCCTCCCTTCAATCGCTGTCTATATCTAGATAACCCAAATATAAATATTTCTTTTAATCAGTAAAAACTCTATCACTTTCTAAAGAGTTTCTTAAGCAAGGAAATAACAAATAGAATCCCATAACAACACTTCCTTTTAACTGCAGTTCCACAGAACTAAATATTGACCAAAAAACACTTTGGTACAATATGTGAAATCCTATATTGGATATAAAAATTATCTTATGCTAACAAACATGGATTTATGATCAAAGGGAAATGAAAATGTAATAAAAGCATTTAGCCAAATTTTGTACTGCATTATTTAGGTGTGGTCCACCCTGAGTGTTATTGGATTTGTGATTTTATCTCAGCATACTTCTAAAGAATAAATTGCCAATCTAATATTTTTCTCTTAGAATAGTGTATGATATAATTCACTATGGCAAGCCAAATAGTTAACTTGTAATTTGGGGGACAGTTATTCGTGCAACATTTTAATGATCATATATCTATACCTCAAGATTAATCTGTTACTGGGTTAAATCACTCCAAATTCTTTCTTCCACAATCTGCAAGAGTAATTGCTGCTTCAGTTTCAATCATGGAGCAGTAAATCTGGATTTACTTTTAGGCAGCTGGTTTATAAGTCCCTGGATATGCATAATTTCATAGAGTGATTGAAGTCATTTTGATATTATATCAACAATAGCTTATCTATAGCATCAACTGCAAGCAATTAAAAAATTCACATTTTATGTGTACCTTTTTCAAGTAGCTTGCCTGTGTATACACATAGGTTTTCTCCACCACAGTGCTGTTGATAAACTTTTATTTCATCCCGGAAATCTGGGTGATCATAAGCTAGGTGCACATTTTTCCCCAAATAGATCATTGTAATAGCTGCATTACTATGCAGTGGTGTTTTATGAATCCTTCTTGAATCCTAGAATAAACAAAAAGGGGGACTTATTAACTAATCTCCTTCTAATCAGAGTGTGATCACATTGTAATACAAAGAATACAAAAGGCTATTTTTATGTACCTAGCAAAAAAAAAACCTTTATAACATGTCAACATATACAGTGCACAAAAAGTCAACCCCATTACAAAATAAATACCTTTAACAACTATAACATATATACCTTTTGGCTTTGTATTTTTAATGTAAATTCTGGAGATCTGGACAAAGTTTGTCAACTTTTAGCTCACGTATGTGTCTTTTTTTCATTCAACAAAAACATCAATGACGTGAAGCAGAAAACTACTCTTGGTTCTTTTAGCTTGTTCCCAAATAAAAATTTAAATCAAATTAATTAAATAAATATTGGTGACATAATTTTCTTCTAATCCAAATTGACATTAACTGTGATTTAGCAATTGTTTTTGTAACTTAGTGTTATATCTTTATGCTGGTGCACTGAGAAGACATTCTTCCCTGAGTTTACTCTATGTGAGGGGAGAGGCATACATTTGATTCTTCCAGGAGTCACCCTGAGGATCAGGAACAATATATGTCAGATATTTGGGATTATCCAGTTTAATAGGAGGCATTCAGTTTAATGAAAAACCAACACTATCAATATTAGCCTTAAATAGTAAACAATATACCCAACCAAAAAATATCACCTCGTAAGCCTATCTGATATTCTATGGCACTGACCAATTTAAGCGATGTATAAAATAAACAATAAACTCAAATGTGAGATTAAGTATCCAAAACCTTGCCTCCTGGTTTATATTCTGAAGTATTTTTTCATAGTAATGAATAAGCACAGTGTTTGCCTAACCTCTAAGAGGAAGACAGGGAAAGGGAAGTAAGAAAAGGAAGAGGAAGAAGAGGCAGCGAAATGGAATGGCTCCTTGAAAGACTTCAAGAGGTCCCAGTAAGAATATTGGAGGCTGCTAGGACTATACAGCACCCCACGCCAGTACTCTGTGGATGGAGGAGCCTGATGGGCTGCAGTCCATGGGGTCGCTAAGAGTCGGACACGACTAAGCGACTTCTTTCACTTTTCACTTTAATTCATTGGAGAAGGAAATGGCAACCCACTCCAGTGTTCTTGCCTGGAGAATCCCATAGACGGGGGAGCCTGGTGGGCTGACGTCCATGAGGTCGCACAGAGTCAGACACGACTGAAGTGACTTAGCAGCAGCAGCAGAACTATACGGATACAAGGCATTACTTTTAATCTACCTAACTTTTCTAAAAGTCAATTTTTAGCTAAATGAAAAATATGAAGAGACCAACTTTCAGTGAATCCAAGGCAGTGATCTGTTGATTTCATTGACTTATAGATGCCTTGGAAGCATGCTTTTATTAAGAATGACAAAGCTCAAAAAAAAAAAAAAATTCTGAAGGAACTACTAAAATACTTCTATCTCTAAACCCATTTCCTTCTGCCTTGGAGGATTCTATTTTTTTTTTTTTTCATTCACTTATATTTCTTTGAAGCAAAAACCAGAGGAGGTAAATTTGATGAAATTGTGCAAATGACAGTCTGAGATTTAAAATTTGAGCGCACTGTCTTGCCTGTGGACAGAGCTCCCAAATAGAGAGATAATCCAGAGAACTATTTCAGGGACTTCAGGAGCCATGACAGTAAGTCAGCAAACTGGATAATTCTCTGCAGACTAGAAACTTCACTCTGCATCGCAGTTGAAAGCATAGGTATGATAACAGGCCCAGCTCCTAGTTGCAAAGTCATCCCATGTTTCCTCTTGCCTGAGTTACTATGGAGCAGTGACATGCACGTGTGCAGCCCAACCCACAATCACCAGCCTAAGGCAAATCCAGCTCCAAGCTCCCACTAGAGCATTTAATGATGTGGCGGATTAAATAAGAACATCCCACGTTGTTAAGCAATACTTTCTGAAGTGGCATGGATTCAGAGGTAGCCCTGAGAGCTTCTGGGAGATAAGTGCTACATAAATACAAGGTAATAGTGGGATTAGAGTGGAGGAAGGGCCCGCCTCATCAGTGCAAAAAGAAAACCTGGATGGAAGAATGTTTAAAAATAAAATCAAGAACAGCTCTTCACCCTTTTCATTTACTCATATTCATATTTTTTCTGCTAAAGTGCATTTCTGATAGCAACATCTCTTTTCTCTTGGGTCTGGTTGCTTCATTCCTTTTTAAAATATTCCCCAATCATTGCCACCAAGTAACACCTTCTGGGTTCTAATAGGAGGCCCAAGTGACAGCTCATGATTAAATGCATCCACTGAGAAATGAACGATTGTTTCTTGCAGTTGACTAAACTGCCTCTAAACTTGCAATCTTCCAAGGTTATAATGAACCCAGACTGATGAAACTTTAACAAGGTTTCATGGCCCTTTCTGCTGTCCTCAAGCAAATATCATAACCTTCCATGAAAATTCAGTTGCATTTCAAGAACAGGAGCAAGTCTCAAGCCTCTGTACAACTAAGGATTATCTCTCTTACTTCCTTGACCAGTTGCTTATGACTTTCCTTCTCATTTCTTTTCAGATTTCTCAAGCAAGTATAATCTGAACGGACAAACAGCAAGCCTATTGAGTAGTGAACCAGTCAGCTACTATATATTTGTAATACTTAGCATTCAGTGGATATATTAAGTTTTCACTGGCATCTTTTTATCCCTGAGCAGGTCTACGTAATAGGTGGATTTTAGAGACTGAGTAAGTGTCAAAGTTCCTGTTCTCGTTGATGTGTTGGGCAGTCCCTCCTCTCCATCTATAAGACAAGCCCTGATGAATTCTGAACATCATATCATACCTGGACCAGTGTAATTAACTTGCAGTTAAAATGCTAGAAAAAAAGAGCATAAATTTGAGCTGTTCCAGGAAATCTGGATATATGATTACCTTACCAATTGGCCCCCACACTTCCATCATATTGTCCTTCAAATTCTCCCTCCTCCTGGATATCAGAGTGATCTACTGTCACTAAATAGATCATGTGACTCTCCTGCTTAAAGTCTTCCAGTGATCCCCAATATCCATGGGATAAAGTCCAACATTCCTCAGACAGTAAAAAAAAGTCTTATAGTCTCTAACTCCTACTATCTTTCAACTATTGCAATTTCCTGTGTTACATCTAAAGGTACAGCAACTGACCTAATTGTAATGGTCCACACATGACCAACATGCTTTTAATCTCAAGGCCTATATAACTCTAGGAGCCACACGGCATTGACCTGTTTCCTTCTATTCCTCTCTCTCAGTAGATAAGGACAGTATCTTACCCATCTTTATGCCCTACCCGCTATGTCTTGTCAGTGCTAACAGATGTGTTGTGCCTAGTCACCCAGTCATGTCCGACTCTTTGCGACCCCACGAACTGTAGCCCACCAGGCTCTTCTATCCATGGGGATGCTCCAGGAAAGTATACTGGAGGGGTTGCCATGCCCTCCTTCAGGGCATCTGCCCAACCCAGGGATCGAACCCAGGTCTCCTGCATTGCAGGTGGATTCTTTACCCTCTGAGCCACCAGGGAAGCCCAAGAATGCTGGAGTGGGTAGCATATCCCTTCTCCAGGGGATCTTCCCTACCCGGGAGCCAAACCAGGGTCTCCTGCAGGCAGATTCTTTACCAGCTGAACTACTAGGGAAGCCCACTGACACCTAGTAAAAGCCTAATAAGCGTTGCTCTGACTGGACACAGCTATGGAACAATTAGAGATTCCACATTTTGACCTCTGCTGAGACAAAAGCAGGCTGATCCCATTCAAAATCGGCAGCTTTCTATATTTACCGGAATTCAATAGGTACTAAAGCATGAAAAGTGATTCATGGTGTCCTGTTAAACAAGACACCACCTTTGTTGATTAAGCCTTGATATTGATAAAAAGCCTGGCCATAAAGAGCGGCAGAGACTTCATGTTGACTCTTGATTCAGGTCTTGCTGTGCAGTCACCAAGTCAAGCCCAACTCTGTGACCCCATGGACTGCAGCCTGCTAGGCTCCTCTGTCCACGGGATGTCCCAGGCAAGAATACTGGAGTGGATTGCCATTTCTTTCTCCAGGGGATCTTCCCGACCCAGGGATTGAACCCATGTCTCCTGCACTGGCAGGCAAATTCTTTACCACTGAGACACCAGGGAAGCCCTATTCAAATCTTTAGGAGAGGAAATTCTGACTTGAGCCGAGGAAAAGTGCTGCCGCGTTCATACCCTAATGTTTCAGGAAGCCTCTGGTTGTGATGGAAACCTGCCTTCACTCTCCTCATTTAGTTCTGCCCTTTCCCTCCTCTTTCTCACTGCTTTTAACTTGTTCTTTCCTTCTCCCTCCGTTGCTTTTACTATGCATCTGCCTTGCACTTGACCCCTGCCTGTTTGTCTTACTACTGTATGACCTATATCTCATGCAAATTCCTGACCTACCTCCAAATGCCTTGGTCTTTCTGGACTTCTGGAGGAATCTGAGCTCCAGATTTTGAGGATGCTGAACTGACACTGGATCCTTTACTTCCTCATCTCCCTCAATAGAATGAATTCATTAAGTCTGTTAAGACCAGAAATTATCCAGCTGGATTTTGATTTTGGTGAGAAGGCCCCCAAATCAGACCCTCTTAGTAGTGGTCTGCCCTGACTCCTAGAATCATTTCTGATTCTTCCTTTCTTCTAGGGTTTTGTTCCACAGTGCCAGCTGCAAAGATATTTTGATTGTTGAATTGACTTTTTTTATACTGTTTTTAAGTTCTTTTTAGTTATGTAGTTACCAAACCGCAATACTAATTTTAAGCAAAAGCATTGTTTAAAGGAAAACGTTGCCTAAAATAAATCAAGCCTACCATGAAATATGTTGAATTACCATATATTAAAATCATGCTGATGTTTTTCCTTATTCATTCTCAAATCTTAGTCTACTGATGAGAAAAACTAAGAGTTAAAATACCAAGGTAATGCACTGGCTAGAAGAAATTTTTGAAGTATTTTAAATTTTAAAGATATTACTTAAATTAAGT